CAGCTGGTCCAGCTGAGCGGAGGCGGCACCACCCTGGGCTGGGAGCGATGGAGCCCGTGGACCCACAGGGTGTGTGTCTCTCTGTGTGTGTGGACACGAGGAAACAGGGGCACCAGGCTGGCTCCGAGGGAGGGGGCAGGGGAGCAGGAGACGTACGCGGGGGGCAGCTCCAGGGCGCTGGGCGGGGGGTTCCAGGTGTCCGGGTGTCCCAGCATCCAGTCCGACCACACCTTGATGCTGGGCAGGAGCTCCTTCAGGTCTGGCGGGAAAGCGGAGACCTTGATGTCGTCGTCCTCGGCCTCTCCCTGGGCCTGAGCCGACCCTGCTGGAAAAGAGGGGGGGGCAGGTCAGAGGGGCCCCCCCGGGATTGCCGAGGCAGCACCCGGAAAGCCCAGCCCAGGGGCTCCCCAAGGCTGCCCTCGCAAGAGCGCAATGGGCCCAGCTGCAGTCCCACCACCAGGCCGCTGGGTGGGGCCTGGGAAGTGGGGGCCCCTCCGCAGCCCCATTCGAGGGTCCTATTCTCCCCCCTTCCTCCCCCCCAGCTAAGTGACCCCTTAAACCTCCCTGGATCAGAAGGGGGGAGGAGGGTTTTTGAGTCTCTCCCTGACTGTCTATGGCAGGGGTAGGCCACCTTGGCTCTTTCATGACTCGTGGACTTCAACTCCCAGAATTCCTGAGCCAGCTGTGCTGGCTCAGGAATTCTGGGAGTTGAAGTCCACGAGTCATTAAAGAGCCAAGGTGGCCTACCCCTGGTCTATGGATTTCTTTCGGGATACTATCCGGGGAGTCCTTGGCTTACGACCGGCCTTGAACCTGCAATTTCTGTTGCTAAGTGAGGCAGTGGCTGAGTGACCACTTGGGCCCTTTTTGATGACCTTGCTAGCCCCAGTCCTTAAGTGAATCTGGCTTCCCCACTGAGTCCACCTGTCATAGGTTTGGAAAAAGGGGCAGGGGACACTGGAGTGGCCACCATTCCACAACGCCCGTTGCCAAGCCTCCGAATTTCCATCAGGTGACCATGGGTTTTTGTTTTTTTTTTGCAATGGTGGAAAGTGTGAAAAACGGTCGTAATTCACTTTTTTCCCAGGATAGACGTAACTTTGAATGGTCGCTAAAGGAGGTGTGTGTAACCTGAGGACCGCCTGCACTTCCTTTTCACAGACCGGATGTCAAATTCCGCCCAGAGTCACACGGATTCGGGCGGCAGCCCCAGGAATAAATACACACATAAGCAAACAAGCAAACTGGATTGTCTGCATATTTTTTGGGGTGTGTGAACCAAGTGACACTTTGCAATGCGGACAGTGCTCTGAGGGGGCAGGGAGCAGTGGGTGGGGGGCAGTGGAGAAGGTGCCGAAGGCTTTGGGCCCCCCCACCCAGGAGGAGGCTCCGAGGCACAGGGGTGCCAAGAGCCACAAGGCAGACGCACAAAAGGAGGAACCCCCCACCTGCCTTGCAGGTGCCAGTCCCAGAGAGAGGGGAGGTGGCAGGGCTCTCTGCCCTTACTTGGGGGGGGCAGCCCAGGGGGTCCCCGGGCACGCTTGGGGCTGGCTGTCCTCAGGCCTCTCCTGCCAGGCCAGCCACCTGAGAGCCACCCGTCTGGGTCGGGGAACATGGGCTGGGGGCCTCTTCCTCACGGAGGGGGGGGGACGAGGCTCCGGCTGCAGGGCTGGGCCAGGGCAAAAGGGATTTGGGAAGCCGGACGTGGCACACCAGGCACCCCAGGCCGCCACATTCAGGCGGACACTGAGCAGGGCAAGTCAGACGAACGCGGCAAAGTCTGCCCAGGTTTAGGGGCTGGCCTGTTGTGTGTGTGGCATCTGCCCCCCCCCCTCGGCCTTTCCAGCTCAACCCTGGCCCCATGCATGGGGAGAGGCCCTTCTCTCCCGGGTCCTGGAGAGGTTCCTGGGCAGGGGAGCCGAAAGCAGCCCAGAGGGATCTGAATCCCAAAATCTGCCCCCCCCCAAACACAACAAAACTCAAGAGAAGATGGCCTGGGCACATCTGCTGGGGGGGGGGTTTCCTCCCCAAGGCCGGCCCTCGCATCCCCCTCCTCGAGGCCAGGACCATCATGCTGAAAGGGGCCTGGACGGGCTGACCGGCATCTCCCCCTTGCCCAGAGTGATGGGGATAGCAGTGAGATTGGGGAGGGGGGGTCCCTGCAGCTGCAGCCCTCAGCCCCCCCAGAAGAAAAGTGCCAGATCCGCAGCCTGTGGGTCAAAGGCGCCCAGAGCAGCCCCTCCTGCAGGGATGCCCCTGTGCCCCCCCTGCGCCCCCCGCCTTACCTAGGGAGACCTCTTGGAGCAGGTGGGTGCAGCGCTTGACCAGGATGGCAAACATGGCGAGGCCCAGGGCGCAGGCCTGCTGCTGGATCACGGAGCGGCAGTCTTCGGACGGGCACTCTAGGGGACAAGCAAGAAGCTGCAGAGCAGGAGGGAGGGAGGGAGGGAGGGGGCCAAGCCTGGGGGTGCTGCCCCCCCAGGTGGGAAGGGAGGGGCTGCTCTGGCTGCGGGACTCCAGCCCATCCCATCGGCAAGTTCACCCCATAGAGGCCGCCAGCCCTCAGCTGCCCAGGCAGGAAAGGGGAGTAGTCCCCCCCCCAAGGCCCCACCCTGCACCCCAATGCTTCTCCCTCCAGGTCCCCCCTCGGGGTGCTGAGGTGGGGCATCCTGTGGGACTGGCAGGCTGCCCTGTTCAACTGCCTTCTTAGGGGCTGCCTGTCCTAAGGCCTTGGAGACTTGGCAAGGGATTCTTTAAAACCAGCCCTGCCAGTTGCCTTAAGATGGCAAAACCGGAGGGGGGACCCCGAGTAGCTCCAGAGCGCTCTGACCCCAAAGAAGTGGGGCAGGGACGGAGGCAGGAGAGGCGGTTCCGGCTGGGGACTCTTGCAGTCAACCATGTCGGTCTGTGAAGCAGCCGAGGGGGTGACGCACTGGGACCGTCCCCCAAAATATGGCCCGCAGTCAGCCGTGGGGGGCTTTGCATTACCGTGACTGCTGATTCGAACTCAAGGCAAGCACTCAAGATACGTTACGGGTCTACGGAGATTCTCCGTCCTCCAGGCCCCGAAGGTGCTTTTTCCCCAAAAGGCCACTGATGAACTGAAGAAGCTTCTTGGGTGAGAAGTGAAATGTTTTCAAGGAAAACAAACCAAGAAGGTCCAGTTGCCTTTGGGGGAAAAAAGCACCTTTGGGTCAAAAGTTGCCATTTTTTTTTAAAATGCAGAAAAGTAAAAAGTCAGTCCCTGGAGCTGAGTGCCAGGCAAGAGAGGGGGAGCGAAGGGAGAGAGGAGAGGGGCCGGAGCCTCGGAGGGGGCAGAAGGACCTTCACACTGGTCAAATTCACAAATTCATTCAGACATTCAGGTTTTTGGGGCCGAGACATGTTAACTCCCGAGTGTGTGCTCAGTAATCAACCAGCAACTGGGACAGACCTTCCAATGCAGTTATCGCACAATCATGGGGCTTCACCCAGGCTGGCAGCTTGCCCCCCCCCCTTTCCACCAGATGCAACTTCCGAGACTCTTCAAAGGGAGCCCCACATGGAGAAGCTTGCAGCAGTCAAGACAGGACATAATCTAGGCCTGGGCCTCTAGCCATCAGTGGGTGAAGGGGCAGCTACAGCTGGGATGCAAGGACCATCTCCAACATTAGAGGTTTTTAAGAAGAGACAGGACAGCCCTTTGTCTGAAATGGTATAGGGTTTCCTGCCTGAGCAGGGGGTTGGACTAGATGACCTCCAAGGTCCCTTCCAAGTCTGTTATTGTTATTGATTCCAGGAATTGCTGTTGCAGGTTGCCTCCAGAGATTGTGGGTGATCCATCACTGGGGGCTTTTAAGAAGAGACTGGACAGCCACTGGTCTGAAATGGGTTAGGGCAGTGATGGCGAAGCTTTTAGAGACTGAGTGCCCAAAAACTGCCCCGCCCCTGCCTCTCCTGCCCACAGGGCCACCCACCACCTCCACGGCCTGCCACAGATCACCCAGGCAGCCGAGCAGCATAATGGTGGCCACGCCCTCCGCCCGTGCCCCACAGCATCATCTGCGTGCAATGGGGCACAAGGGTGGAGTCTTGTCCCTGCTGCCTGGCTACCATGTCCTTGGCTGCGCTGTTTCATGTGGGCCGTGCCCAGGGGCGACTCTCCTCTCGGGGGGGCTGCTGGTGAGGAGGGGGCCACGGGGAGTGGTGGGGCTGGGGCGACGGCGTGGGTGCCCACAGAGAGGGCTCTGAGTGCCGCCTCTGGCATCCGTGCCATAGGTTTGCCACCACTGGATTAGGGTCTCCTGCTTGAGCAGGGGGTGACTAATAATAATAATAATAGTAAAGTTGGAAGGGACCTTGGAGGTCATCTAGTCCAACCCCCTGCTCAGGCAGGAAACCCTATACCATTTCGGACAAATGACTGTCCAGTCTCTTCTTAAAAACCTCCAGTGTTGGAGCATTCACCACTTCTGGAGGCAGGTTGTTCCACTGGTTAATTGTTCTAACTGTCAGGAAGTTTCTCCTTAGTTCCAGGTTGCTTCTCTCCTTGATTAGTTTCCATCCGTTGCTTCTCGTCCTGCCTTCAGGCGCTTTGGAGAATAGGTGGACCCCCCCCTCTTCTTTAGGGCAGCCCCTGAGATACTGGAAGGCTGCTATCATGTCCCCCCTCGTCCTTCTCTTCATTAAACCCTCAGTCCATGGACCAGTACCGGGCTGCAGCATGCCAGCAACCGGTCCACACAAACAAGCAAAGCCCCATCCGTGAGATGCAGGCAGCACCCCAAACCACGCACCTTCCAGTCCGTGGAAAAACCTCTCTCCACGGAACCGGTGATCCCTGGTGCCCAAAAGGTTGGGGGCCTCTGGACTAGAAGACCTCCGAGGTCCCTTCCAACTTTATTGCTATTATTATTACTATTATCATCATCATCTCCAGATGTCACCCCAAAAAGAGACAACTGGGATCCCCTCCCTTGGCACACTGGCAGAGGCGGAGGTGGGGGGTCTTTCACCCACAGACTGTTTCTTAGCACTTAAGGCCATTATTCTCCTTTGAATCTAATTTCCAACACCCACAAATTCAGGAGGGCTCCTTCCCCGGAGCAGCCGCCTCCCAAAGTGGAAACAGCCCCGTCTCTTGTGGTGCTCGGTCTTGGGGGGGGGGATCAGGCTGGAAACACCCCCTCCACAAACTCCTCCTGGGCATCTTTGGGGACACTGCAGGGGCTGAGAGACGGGGCTCCCCCTTTCCTTCTGAAAACTGCTTGGTGCCCGTTCCTCCGCTGACTCTGCCCACTGGGGGCCCCTCCTGCCTCCCAAAGGCCGGAAGCTGCTCTCCTGGTCCACACCGTGGCCAGCGGACGACCCAGAGGGGGACGGATGGCCCACCTGGCAGCCTTGGGGCCAGCAGCTGGACCGTGCCAGCTGCCAACCCTGCCCACCCGGGCAAGGGCCTGTTGTGGGGCCAAAGCAGCCTGCGGGAGGGGAGGCTTCCTTCCAGCCCCCCCGGCACCAGGAGCAGCACTTTCCAAGCCAGGGCCTGGGACTTCCGGCCGGCCTGGGGTCCGGGCCAGGTCCCGGCCTGGGCTCTGCCAAGCTACCTGGGCCGCCGTTGGGCTGCAGAGTCTCCTGGTTTCCCAGAGAACAAAATATTCGTGGAAAACATAAACCAACTGTCGTCAAAGCTGTCGGGTCTCAGGAAACGGATCGGCCGGGAGAAGGTGGCCATGTGGCCGGATGTTATGCGATTCTAATTAGCGCTGTACATCTTTCAGCGGGAGCGGCCGCCAGTGTCCGCTCGCTGGGAAGCAGGGCAAGGCCGGCCTTGTTATTGTAACTGTCAAGGAGCCCCGAAGCCCATCAGCGCCCCCCCGGGGGGGGGGGAAGCGAGGAGCGCTTCAGGCCCTGCCCAGCAGGGGGCGCTGGAGGAGGCACCTCTCGGCCAGGAAGGAGAGGGGGGGCGGAGGGGGGCCAAGCCCGGACCACTCCCCCCCTGGCCTGGGGGTCCGATAAAGAGGAGGGCTCTCAAGCAGAGAGGAGAGACAATCCAGCCCTCCCGGAGGAGGAGGAGGAGGAGGAGGAGGAGGAGGAGGAGGAGGTGGTTTACCAGACCATCAGTGCTAGCAGAGAGGGGGGTTTGGGGAATGGAGGGGGAGAGGAAGAAGAGGAGGAGGACTGTGGGGTCCTGGGGGCTCTCTGAGCGTGGTGGTTTTCTTGCAGACGTCTCATGACCCAACTAGGGAACGTCATCAGTCGGGTCATGAAATATCTGCAAGAGGAGGAGAAGGAAGGAGGAGGTGGAGGAGGAGGAAGAGGAGGTTTGGAGGAGGAGGAGGAGGAGGAAGGTTCCCAGCCGGGAGCACCTTCTGCAGGCTGACCACCCGCGGATGCTGCTTGGCCTCCACTGGACCGTCCCTCCCTGCTCTCGACAACAGATGGACACAAGATAAGATCCGAGGCGAGGAGGACCCCCTACCAGAGAGAAGGGCAGCAGGGGGGGAAGGGGGGGCGATGGGCAGAGGAAGAACTTGGGGCAGGCCTGACTCCGTCCTCACCCGCAGGGCCAGGGCAGCGTCCGGCACCCGAGCATCCAGCCTGCCCCTGGCCCCCCCTCCCGAGTGGCCCACAGTCCCCCGTTGCTGGGGTGGGGTCTCCAACTCTGCCGCTCTTCAAACGGATCTCCCCACCATCAACCCCAGCCCCGTGCAGGAGGCCAGCCCCGATGCCAGGGGCCAACCCGACCGGGCCCCCAAGGAGCCCCCTAACCCGCCCCCACCCCAAGCCCAGCTGCTTCTCATTCTGGCAGGGCCTCCCCGCCTGTCCAATTTGGGGAGGGGGGTGGGCGGAGGAGCCGAAGGCTGCCAAAACCGGGGAAGGAGCAAGGAGGAGCTGGGAGCTCCCCATGGAAGCCATCAGACACTCAGCACTTCATTTGTTTCATCCCAGGCCCCCCTCCCCACCGCCCCCACCCCAAGTGCGGCTCTCAGCTCCGGCCCTGCGCTCCGCTCTGACGTCATGGCCAGGAAGCAGCTGCAGAGCGGAGGAATCCCCCCCTGGCATCGCCCAAGGGCCGGGGGGGGGTCTGCAGGAGAATGTCGGGAAGGCCACCATCGGCCGGCCGTGCCCGGGAGGAGCCGCTGTGCCCTTGGACTGCCTGGCCAGGATCTGGGCCCCGTCCGCTCCCCCCACCAGCCCTCCCTGGAGGCTGCCCCCCCCGGCTTCCTCTCCCCCAGGCTGCCGAGCGCAGGATGCCGCCACCCTCCGACCTGCCCGCGCACACGTAGATGCGGCTGGCCTCTGCTCCGGAGGGCACGCTCTGCCCGGGCAACGGAACCAGCGCAGCCTTTTCCCGGAAGAATGTGTGGAATCAGGCTCCCATTTTTAGAACATGTTATTCCCAGAAATTTCCTGCAAAGGCTCC